CCTGCGAGACAAATCGGCCGAAGCTCGTGTCCGGCTCAGCTGCAGGACCGCCGCCGCGACCGCGTCGCCCTCTGGCTGTCACTACAGGGGCAGCGAGGGAACTCCCCCCCCCCGCTGCCTGCGCGGCGCTGCGACGGATGGCAGCGCCTACCAGCCGCCATTCGGCATCAAGACGCCGCGAAGCAACTGCGCCTCAGAAATTGGCTAATATCTCGACAGACAGCTCCGCGATCTCCGAGGGGAGCGAAGAGACCGCCAAATCGGTACTTACGTCGCCGCCTCGCACCACCAGCGCGCCCACGCGACCCGCCACCATCGGGTGCCGGCGACACTCGCATTGCACGTCCCGGCGCGAACCACACCGCCCGCCACAGGCCTGCCATTGCGGCGGCCGCCACTCGGCGAGGAGCGCCTGAAAACTTGACTTTTCCACCCGAACAACGGCGCCAGACTGTTCTCCCTGCTCAAAAGGCATCCTGGTCGCCCATTGTCCCCCAATACCATTTCCTTTTTTCCTGTCTCATCTCCTATTATATTCCAAACACAAGACTATATCCCCCATTATGCTGTATTCAGCGCGGGACAATGCGCGCCGGGACAGCGCCGCGGGCCGCGCCGGCGTCAATGGAGCCGACGCGCTGGTGCGCGCCTCCCCTCTGGCGGCCGGACCAGCCATTAATCGCCCGCTGTCTGCGGCGGCACCTGGCGGCGGCGGCCGCCACTGCCGCCGGCCCGCACCCGGCTCGGAGGCGTCGGGGATGCGAAACTGGCCGCGCGGACGCTGCCGGCGCACCGAATGGGGGGTTCAAAGTCGAACATGGAGGAGCAGCTTCCGGATGTGGAGCAGGCACCGGAAAGTGAAAACAGCATGAGGGATTTTTCGTCGCCTTGGGCGGGCATGGCTAAGCTCAGCCCCCCCCCCCCCCGTTTTTCCGCCCGGGATCTGTTCGCGGATGTGCGGGCGGTGCAGGAGTGAAACGTCGGCCTAGGCTCAGGTCGGACCAGGTAGCTCCCAGCTAGAAGAACAGCAGGCGGTGTGAGCCGGTGATAATTGCTTTGTCCTTCAAAATCAACACCTAACCCCGGTTTCGGGAGCACCGATCGTACATACCACGTTAGTGCTTGGGTTAAATCCATGGATGAGTAGAAATCCATTTGAGAGTGCATTATTACCTTGGAACGTTACCAAGGAAATTCACAGTTGACGGCTTTCGATCAAAATAACTTCATATAAAAATTTGCAGTAAAAAAGTTAAAACTGGCGTGGAATGCTTATTTCCTACCAGAGTCCAGACACGCTTAACGTTAGGCACAGGCCATACATGCCCCCGATCAAGCCACTTATCTCAACACAAATCTACCGTAAGCGTTAGCGCTGCCGTGGGTCACGCCTCCGCCCAGCCGTCGCGCGTCTTTTCTGGCCAAGACATTTCTGTCACAATTTTCACAGCAAACCTAACAAAATCAAACGTACATTCGCTTGAAGGTCGTCCAAGGTCGTTCGTCCAATGCCGTTCATCCGCTCCAAGGCCGCATAGGATTTGCTCAATGCGTTGGCATGGTAATGCGGTGAGGTTAAGTCGCCAATACGCAGATGTGTGAGCACTGGTCATCCCGGCGGTCAAATGCAATTTGTCCCTTGCCCTTACCGACCCGCCTATTTTGGACTCACCCCTCCATTTCCAATACTTACCGGAAAATTCAATGGGAAAATCATACCGGAAAACGGTAAGAAAAATGGCAAATTAAGTAAAATTAATGGGGTATTAAGATCACATCCTTACGATAATAATATGTGTGAAAGTGGTTAAGTACGCTGCATTTCTAATCATTGTTGTCACAGACCTTGCCCACAAAATCGAAGAGTTTGAATATGCCTTACCATGCCTTACATTGCGCATGCAGTGCACCAGGCTAGTTAGTAAAGTAAAAAGGTAAAGCAGAACAGTGATCTTCGCTGTTCGCGCGAAACTCTTGTAGTGTCACACACAAGGACAATAAGTACATGTTGTTTTGTTTGAAACGTGGCCAACGTAAAACACAGTCTTAACCTGGCCTCAACAGCCTTGGCTGCAACGGCACCCACGGCAAGCACGGGTAGCAAGCGCATAGAAAAAAGACGTGCTTTGCTTTTCGAGTACCTTTTAAGATGAAAGTGCGCTAAGCTCCCCTGATATTCATTCAACCGGTGCGATGTCAGCTTTACCACATTTTCAACCCACTTCGGACAGGAGGAACATGCCTTGAGACTGTCCACAACCTTGGCTCGTACCCGCGCTCCCGCTGCCACAAGCACCTATAAACCAAATCTTTATGTTGAATCAGCGCCCCGAGGCAACGTTTCAACATAGCCCCCAAGGTGAGCAGCCGCATAAAAATACCCCAAACCAAAATGGTAACAACACTGTTTTTGCAATCATCGTCGTTTGCTCTCAATGAACTGATTGCATTTTCGGCCCACGCAACACGTTTGTTGAGGACTTGGTGCGCGGCATAGCACCGAGGCAATGAGCGAAGATCAACACGTCAGTACGCCGAGCACGACCCAATTCGGGACCAAAAAAAATATAAAAAGGACACGCATACCGCCAAGAAGAGCTAGCGGCTAGCGTTTTACACGCTACCCTCCTTTTCCAGGCTTCCAGGGTGTTGAACTGGGCGATTCCATTTCGCAACACCATAGGGAGCGATTGTGCAAGTGAGCCATGTTGAGACTAAATGTGACAAATGTCACACCTATTCCGCATGCTTCACGAGATCGCGCTACAAATACCCACCTGACACGTGACCCACGCTGCTGCGCGGTGAGACCTACAACAGCGTTCTCACCGCATACCCCTTCGTGTGGAACACCTACATTAGCTGACATGAATTCCCTGCGATTGCCCCGCTCCCGACCGATATGGAGTCTCTCCCGGCACGAAGTTCGGGCCGACACCGGCGGCAGCCGCCTCCCACGGCCGGCCGACAGCGGCACTATTTGTATTCTGTTACACCAGACTCAATTACAGGCGCCATCACGGCGGGGCGGAGCTAATGCGGCTCCTTAATAGCGCCCCGCGGCCGGCGCTGACGAACCGAGACCGACGGCAGGCACCTGTGTCACGCGGCTTCAAATACCGCTCCGTTCGACGGGCAAACCGTGACCGGCCTTGCAGACGACTGGCTAGTCACGTCAAGCCGTCACACGTCGCACCCCGAGATATTCAGTAGGTCTGCTAAAGTGGACTATACTTGGCCCAGAGGACGCCTGCGGTATGACACGAACGAGATGATGACGACTTCAAGTGCTTTCATTACGCATTAAACAAGTACGCGAATGAAGTAAATCTTCATGAGCTTAATAGGTAGAAATGTTCTGACAGATAGCGTTTGCGCAGATGTTTAAATAACATGGTTCGAAAGCTGTCTGGCTTCGGGTTTGTCACAAGTGCTGCATTTTAATCACTGAAATCGAGGAGTTCGGAATGGTTTGCACTCGGTGCCTGTGACAAAAGTTCCGCAAAATGCCGACCGATTATTGAAGCATCTGTTGCTCGGGCAGTGCTCCTGTTATTAGGGCTTTACGGCGCCCTAAGCATCTGAGGCTATACGGCGTCGCCTGCACCTCATACCTGGCAGGAAGGCTGTCACTGCCCAAGAAGAGTCAGGCAGCGATGAAATCTATCCGCAATTTGTAGACGGCACATTCGCCTACGCCGCACAGATGGTTCCACGTCTTTACCCGCTCTGGATACCAAGACCAAACATAAATCCTTGAAAACAACAACAAAAAAACGCAAAAGCGAAAGAAAACGCGCCCGACGGTGGTTTGCGCTAGTGAGTGCAACACTGGCAGCACGCATTGACTCAGCTATTTACCAACACGAGTGTCCTTTCTTCAGTGCGAATTAGCTGGACTTGGGTCACTGCGACGACGGTTCGTCGGCAGCTGGACATAGTTTCGATCGCGATTCTTCCACCCTTTTGAAATTCTACAGCTTAACGTTCCCGATGTGAATCGAGCGAGGAAGCCTACCTTTTGCTACCTTGATAACGCCACATGAAAGTCACATCTGACCCACCATCTTGTAAGCTAATCTCTCCAAATGGATAACACACAGCCATACGAATACGCTTCCGGTTGCTGAAGCTGCAACCAGTGGATGCGAAGCTGCTCGGTGCAGACTCAGTTCACAAATGGTTTGTAGTTCAGGTAGCGGTGGCTTGATCTCCGTCCTCGTCCGTAGGGTATCAGCACCAGTGAATATATGTCTGACGCATTAAAAAAACAAGTACTCCATGGACATCAAGATATCGAGATACAGGGAGGCGAAGGTTAGATTCGTCGACACATCATTCTACCTTTGCTCAAGTGGATACATTCAGCATTAGGAACCTGGCCTTCCATTACGGAAATGCCAAGTATTGCGCAAACTTCGGAGCATCGCCGCCCCAGGAGAAGGGGACGGCAGGTGTACGGCTCAGAAGTCATCTGTCTCGACCCTATAACGCGAGAACCCAGCTGAGACCTGGGGGACCGTCGCACCCGTTTAAAAGGAACACAACGTTGCGACCCTAATCACGACCCAGCCCGGACAGCACGGCCTGTGGGGCCGTAGAGGAGGCTCGCGAGATGGCGATGACGCTCGGTAACTTTGGAACTGGCCCGTCATTGCGTGGCACACGAGTGCATTTTTTAAATTTTTTGTAGGACACAAGCAGGCGAAGGTCGACCTGTTTCTCACTTGTCATTGCCATAACTAGCTGCTCCAGTTTCAATGCGTTCAAATCGGCCTCTAGTTATTTTCTGGAGTGTCGGAATTGCAACCGAAGCACCATTGAACAGCTGTCGGTGTCAAATATACTTACCGTTTCCTTGCAGCAGCACAGACCGCCGTGTTAAATCCAACACCATCACACAGCGAAAGGACGAGTAGCTGCCGCGCGCTTTCGGGAGCACTGAGCGCACAAACCAAACGAACGTTTCATCCATGCCCTGTGTTGTGATCCGGCCGTTTCCATCCAGCTGCATTTTACCTGAACGGGAACTCCTTGACGTAGCAGTAAGCTGTTGCTCCTGAGACAGCAAACAGCTCCATCAGCGTGCCGTAGATGCTGATGCCCTCAGCGCTCTTGTTCATCATGATCTTTAGCACCTGCGGGATCTTCACTGCAAGAGACAGGGAGCACCTAAAGGTCAGCTCTCGACACGGCCACTCAGAACTACAATTGGCCTGCAACGCGGAAAACACACAGAAATGTGCGATGAGAAGGCCGCAAGCCAACGTACTGTTTCAAAAGTCGTGCATTGTAAGACGCCACTGAATCCCATAGCCTCACTTTAGTGACGAACCACCACCCATATTAGGGAAGGGTAGCTCCCCAATACTCCTGTAGTACGCACTACGTAGCCCTGGTAGTTGTCACTACGACCACTAACCAGGCTCCTCTACACGGATATCACTTTTGCACGCAACATGCGTGGGATATTGAGCACAAGCTGAAACCGTGTGATCCTAAACATTTGATGCAAGTTACTTCCATTTTCACAACAAATACTGGTGACCACAAAGAGCACCATTTTAGAGGCAAAATATCGCGTCGATGGTTCCGTCTCTCCATCTCCGAAACGGCTCGGAAATATTGACCACATTTTCAGAAAGCACTGAATGACGTCATTTGCATTACAGGCGGATACGAGAGCCGTCACATATGACACGAATCCTGAGGAGGTCTGAATGACACGGCTCTCTTATGACCCGCTCGGTATACGACGATAAATAACATTTCAACCAGTAAGTTTTAAGGCATGGTCTCATGTGTTCAAATTTCCTGACGCACAAGTCAGTTGAATGGTCAATTGAATGCCTCAAACGATTTTGCTTCAAGCGTTAGATAAATCGCTCGAATTTGCAATGCAATGCACATCACAGACCCAACGACCCAGTTCATGGCTAAAAGTGGCAATTTTGTGGGATATTTCGTCATCAGATCTACAAGGCCGATCATAAACGCGTCCACCTTCCAATATATACATACATTGCGTCTTTAAAAGGCGTCCGCTGGTCTTTCATACTCGCGCTAACCAGTCGAGAATCGGATTTTACGGCAGTATACCATTTCTGACTTCTTTTTCTCATTCGGACACGCAATGCAAGGCTGAAAGGTTTTCACCACACAATACAAACACATCCAAATCAGGAAGATCATCTCCACACGGACCTGTCCTGCGGAACTCACCCATCGACGACCCCGCCACGATGCCCAGGCCGAGACCTTTGCTCAGTGTCGACTTCAGGCAAGGCACTGGGAACATTCACAAAGACGCGCGTTAAACACGTACCGACGCGTACAGGCGTCAACATGGGGCTAGCAACCGCGTTACGTTACAAGACCCAAGTTCCATTCCATAGACTTACAGAGTTACAACAGGTTGAAGTGTTGGCTCCCATTCCTAGTGGATGCATGGGTGCTATCTGGATGGCGGCTTTACACAAAGCAACAATGAACAATTGGCTTCGAGAGCACAAACGCAGATTCTATTGCAAACCACATCATTTGTTAACTCATCTGCGGCCCAACGGGGAGAAAATACACCACGTCATAATATTACTCTGGCGTGACGTCACATAGCACCAAAATCACAGCGAGAGGACCGACATGCTCGCACGCACCGAAACTTCAGAGCATCACCCACGAGGCCCAACGTTTCGGGACAATCCCACCGCCCGAAAAGGAGACAACGCCCAGCTTAGCAGTCCCCCCGATCCTGGTGAAGACATCGGAACACCATCACATGCAAATGTAAAGAACACCACATTGTTACTCAGTTACACCCTGGATGGTTTACAGGCTGGTGAGAAGCCGGGCTGCACGAAGTTATCACCTTTTTGCGGTCGCCAGCAATCTCGGAAACCACTCATTCGACTTGTACGAATATACCTCAGTCAACCGTTAGTACACGATATTTCCACTTCAACAAGTGGACCACTAAACATGTTCTTCCACTCTAACTTCTACGAATGTTTATCAGTCAATCGTTTGTACACGATATTACCACTTCGACAAGTGGACCACTAAACATATACATGTTAACCAGATCTGCTGACCTCAGGTCACCATGGTGACCTCCACACCAGTGACTGGCTGTGGGTTGACACTGCAGCCACCTCAGATCCCGGAAACATCACTCCCATTTTCTGGAACCCTGTCCCAATGACTCGCAACACACAATTCATCAACGGTTTCCATGGTAACTCGAAATGACCGCGTGTCTATGGGATGAAACGGCGGCTTCGTCCTGTTTCGGAAATTTATCAGGCAATTTATCTGAGAACTGCATTGATCGACGCTGAGACGCAGCTTGATCAATTGCATTAGCCACTGCGACCTCAGGTCACCACGATGGCCCCGTGCGTGTGTGGACAGACGTGAGATATTTCTACAGCCCTCACCTGTCTTGGAAATACTTGTTGCATGCACAGGCGGATCCAGCAGCATTTTGTCAATGGAGGGACTGTACTTCACTGTGGTGCCCCTCCCCCCCCCCCCCCCCCAGAACTCTGTGTCTATCTCACCCCATCCCTTCCCCTCACAGAAATCTCCGTATTTCGGACACTTTACTTTCAGATCCTTATGTTGTAGTTTGCAAGGTATCTTCCTGTGGAATAGTCCATTGGATTTATTCCACTTTATTTTGGTATGTCAATTCTATTCCTGTACTCATTCTATGGTTGGCTCTTTTAATTGAATGAAAAACCAGAAGCTACCAAAATTTATCATGCATCTAGAAGTCAGTAAAATGATATTTAGCAGGAATTAAATGACAGCATTCCATAACCTGTCTGCCATGCTTATCCCCTTACAATGATGCATTTGTGCCTGTTTATAAAAAAGATAGCCAGGGGCAATGCCAAATTTTATCATGGCTTTACAGAGATATTGAGGAGTTTGTGGATTCAATGCCCACATAGATCAAATAAGCTCAAAAATTATCTTGACACACTCAGCCCTTGGTTGCCTGACGAAGTTCATACTTTCTTTAGAATGCATCATAAAAAGTTTTAGGCATGGGCACCTGCCATCTAAACACCCAGAAGAACACAACCTTACCATGCATGAAATTCATCTTGTTGAAGAACTCATCATAGCAGTCTGGTGTTGCAACCAGCAGAGCAAGCTTCTCAAAGATGTCTTTTGCCTGCTCCATGATCTTGTCCTGGGATATCTGATGGAGCAATTCATGTGATGTTATAAACATAAATTCTTGAGAGCAGCTTAAGTGACAGCTGGACTCTAGATTGTATGAATGTAAATTTTCTAACACACTTCCCTCTTTTTGGGTAAATTCAATCCAAACTTTTTGAATAGGTAGATTTCTATGATAAGACCTCATACTAAGCAGTGGTTGTCATGCAAGACTCAACCTTTACCATCTAATCCACCTGAACTTTAACATGGCTACTGCAATCACCACAGGCTATGCCTGTCAAGGGCAAATAGCAACCACATTAAGTGACTAGAACACATCCCACCATGGGTGAATTTATTGGAGTGTAGGGCTCCAACCAAGCTATCAAGACAGCCCTCTATAAAAAGAGCTTATTCCAGAAACACATAAAAATATGATACAGGTTAGACACAGGCAAACTGTCAATATTCACATAAAATGTTACAAAGTTGATCAAGGAAAGGAAATCAAGATAAGAAATTTAACCATTTAAATGTTTTTGGTTGTGCTGGATCTAGGATTCAGTTCAGGAAATATGACCATGTAATATAATGCCTCTGTTTTAAGACAACTGTGGTGACCTGCACTGTATTGGCATAACCATCTGTGCTCAGCAGCAATACTCCATGCACCATGTAACAAGATGAAAAATCTTGTTTGAGTGAATGCCTAGAGCCAAAACCATTCCTAATGCCTGACTTCCATCTGGCTGTACTTGGCCAGCCTGGGTGGAGTACAAAAGCTAAGTTTATCATCTCAAAAATTTGTGCACACAATAAAGGTTAAGGCTTATGACTGATGTGCATAAGGCTTGAAACTATCACTGCTTACACCCTCCATCAACCAAGCCTGTTCAAAATACAATGATAGCAAGGACTTAGTGCACGATCACACTGAACAGGCATTACAAATACACTTGGTGGTATTACGCTGTCAAAGAACATTCAAATGGTACGCATTACTTGCTAACAATGCTAAAATAGCTATGGGCACCACATGTTAACTCCGTAACTTTTTAATCACTACAATTGGGGATACACTAAATAAGGTGACAATGTGGATACTAGACCTATGCCGCGGCCCTAAAGTATCTGCTGCACAAACTAGGAATACGTGGCCGGTCGGCCTGCCAACTCATTGAATTCTTGTACGCTGATTACGTCTCGCGTGCGTCATATATGACTTACCAAATAATTCGCACGAGAATAGCAAATTATAATGTTCCGCCGTTGAAAAGATAGCATGCCTGATCATTTCAGTGCCGGAGATCAAACAAGGCTTAAAAAGAAAAAAACACGCTAGTGGCAGCTGAAGCGAGCCTTTGCGGAGAGAAGTAGCGAGGAAAATCACAGGCTTTTTACACAGCATGTCATTTACCACCACAAAAGTGTGCATTCCTGTGACCCTGTCAGGTGCCGGTGCCGGGCGGCGCTCACGTTAAGCCTCTCTAACAACGTTCACCCCTTCAGTGGCGGCAGCATCGTAGAAAAAGAAACTAAGCCATATTTGTGCTCGAATTCTCTGCAATTTAATCGGTTCCAACTTTAACGCACATCGAAAATGACCGATTCTGACACAACTGCGATCCAGAACACTTCGTCTTCGGTCTTCGGCATTCATTCAAGTTAATGATGCAGTCAAGCAAAATGAATTATGCATGCACGCATTCATGCAAAAATTCAATAAGGGAGGGGGATGAAGGCATACGTACCTGATCACTCACCCGCATACGCCCCTGAAGATATAGCTTGCGACGACGGACATTCCGGGGTGAGGGAATGGCCCCACGAGGCGCCGTGCGTTGAGGTCCATGAAGTGTGTGTGGGAGCAAGAATTAAGACCATATTTCTTAGGTTTTTACTACTCGATGTTCCAGTCTTTGCTTTAAGGTCACATCGGTGCTGGGGCAAGGCAGTTGTCGGAGGGTGGGGTCCTACAAGGGAGACCCGGAATGGCCGGTCACGTGGCAATGACGATGCCGGTTACCATAGGCACTCCTGACTGCTGTGGAAGGAAGAGCAGTTTTTCGCCGGTTTTTCTTTGATCCCAAGCTGACGGCTGGCTCCTCATTGCACGGGCTCCGTCCGGTCTTCAACGCCTATCTATATCCAGCCTGACGTCTGCCAGATATGTTGGCTATGGTACCTGCACAACAGCAACCCTTGCCAACTCCCCCGCAGCAGTCGTTCACCATCAGTCAGCAACGGGCGCGAGACACATCGCCATCGCTGGCAGCCAGCACCCACCAACAAAACCTTTCTCACGGACTGCGCGTTCTTACTGAGTCGCACGTACCCTTCCCGTGCCTCCATGGCGCAGGGATTGCGAGAAGGTGGTGTCTCCGGGCTGCGGCAGAAGGGGTGGGGTGAGAGAATGGACCCGCCACGTGCGCCACACGCCAGCCGGGCTAAACCGCGAGAACGCTGCGCCGGGTGCGGATACCCACGAGGCCAAGTCATCGCGACCGTACGGCGAGCGAGATCCCTGATACATTGCCGACAGTTGCTGGAGCTCGCGCCTGCTGGCCCGTCTGACCAATCAACCAGGAATCTAATGCATAATGAGCGGGCTCGTTGCGCAGCCTCCAGCGACGTACTATTCGGCCGCCTGGCCCAGACAGCCAACTCAGCAGCCTCCGCCGACCATCGCCTATGACGAAACAAGCTATATGAATATTAAAGTTAATATATTATATAAAACTGACAAGGCTCACATATACCGACGAGTATGGCACACAGATGAAACACGCACGCACCTACAAAAACAAGCGTGAATTGATTTCTCATCAGTTAAGTAGAAGACTTCGGACGCTATCTGGAAGAACACAAATGCCGAGCCACACACCCCTGTTGCATTAAACCTTGCTGCTGCATGCTCATGTTACGCGGCCACACACGCACACTTCATCAATTACTCCTGGGCTGCCCGACATGATCCAGTCTGCTCCAAAGGCTTACTCCTAACACGTAAGATGGCAGGCATAGCTACAAGGCACAGACGCCCACGAGCGCGAGGTACAGGAAACCGCTCCACGCACGGGGAACCGACCTCGAGAAACTTCCAGTCAGCATGCCGCCAGGCGAGCCTAAAGAAGACCTCAGCGGGCATCAACCCGACCGGCACTAGCAGCGTAGTTCTCGGGTGAGCAGAATCTTGCGTGAATATGGACGCCGCCGGTCCGCCATCGGCCGATACACTGCGACTACACCTCTTCCTACGACTAGCCTTGCCACTCTCGCACTCGCACGCGCCGAGGCCGCGTCCCGATGGCCCGTCGATGTTCGCAGGGCGGGCACCGGCGGCCCGCGCCAAATAAAATGGCGCGCCGGGCACGTCGCTTCAAAAGCGCCACATCTGACCGGCCGTGTGTGATGTGGCGGCGCCACGGTCCGAACAGTGTAAAGCTCAAGGCCTATCGCGAGGCCACATCGTCCGGTGACATGACAACTGGAGCGACACGCACCACGCAAATGATGTCATTTTCATAACGGCGGCGAGGAGCCACATCGCGCCGAATAGTCAGCTGCCCGCTCCGGGCAGGCCGGTGCCGCCCGCCCACCGCGGCCAAACACAGAGGAGCGCTAACTGCAGTCACAACTAAGCTGAGATTACCAATGTCGAATCCTCATGAAACGAATCCGCGATGACAGGCCTTCCAACGCCGTATGCTGACAGAGCGCAGCGAAGCCCGCCAACAGGGGCGCCATTATTGTCACTTGCGCCGCCGTCAAGTTCATTCGCACCGGTCCGCTGGCTTGTCTGGCGAGGCTGCGCACCAGCGCCGACCTGTCGCCCAGCGTCGGCGGGCGCGGGGATGGGCAGTCCTCGACTCCTGGCTGTCTCGGGGCTGGGCGAGCCTATTTGCCGCCGTACGCCGGGTTCTTGTAGGTGGACGTGGCTTGCTTGTAGATCGGGTTCTCGCCCTGCGGAGCCGTCAGACACATCGGTGAACCCACGCACCCACTTCGCACAAAAACCACGCTACCCAATGCGCGAGCACCCGTGCACTCCATCATAGATGCACAGTCCGCCAGGCTACCTCTGTCGCAAACCCAGGCCCGGCGGGGAGAAAGCCTCGTCGGCAGTCTGCCGGCCGCGCAGCGCCAGCCATGACCCGGGCCGGAGCCGTTAAAGGTCGCGCTCCGCCGCCGGCGCGTCCACCGCCGCCGGCCGCGCGCCGCCAGCCATGACCCGGGCCGGAGCCGGAGGTCGCGCTCCGCCGCCGGCGCGTCCACCGCCGCCGGCCGCCGCCGGCCGCACCCCGCGCCGGCGCACGCTCGTCACTCACCGTGTCCCACTTGGCCATCTTGCGCTCCGAGTCCCACTTGGCATACTCGCGCCGGTCGTGGATGGTGGTGAGCAGCTTCCACAGCATGAGCACGGCCATGCCGACCACCACGATGGCGGCGATCAGCGTCAGCACGATACCTGCCGGCGGCGACCGACCTCAGCTGGGGGCGCGCTCAGCGGGGGTCGGCGAGCGACGGAGCAGGCGGTCGGAAGTCAGCAGCGGTCAGATTCAGGCGGGATCAGCGTCAGAAGGGATTGGTCCGCACCGTTCAACGCCAGCGGATCCTGGCGACAGCAAGCGCCTGAGCCCCCACGGATCAGTGTCCTAGGCTGTCAGAGTAAGGATCGGCACGCCGAAGGAACGACCTTCGACGATGACGTCCTGCCTATCACTGCCTTTTCGCCATTAGCGACAGGCCTGTGAGTGGCGCGGCCACACACACACCGCTGGAAACACGTCGCATCTACACCGCCTGAGCGCCATCCTCCTTCACAGGGCACCGCCGCCCACAGTCCCGCCGGCCGGGATGCCCCGCTGGACTCCACCGGGGACCTGGTGACGAGCCGACGGCCGCGCTCACCCAGAATGTTGATGGCCGGCGGGCACTTCTTGGTGTCCTGGGCGCGGATCACCGGGTTGTTGTCCTCGTCGTAGCCGTAGACGAAGCGGTAGCGGCAGCCCTTCTCGTCGCTGAAGGTGCACATGCGCTCGTCGGGCGACTCCACTGGAACGGGCGCAGTCGTCAGCCGGGTCCGAACAGGACCGGCGATCGCGCGCACACATGCTGCCCAGCGTGCGCTGCCGTCAGCAGTGTCCGCCGAGTTCGAACAGGACCAGCGAGAGCGCGCGCGCGCACACACACACTGCCCGGCGTGCCCAAGACGTCCTATCACTCCACAGCCATTCACGCTGCATTTGCGATGGGGACCTGGTCGTCTAATGGAGGGCGCCCTGCGCCCGAGCACCGGACACAAGAATGCACAGCGCCAGCGCAGACTGCTCAGGGAGAAACACTCAAACACAAACAAACAGTGCGCAATTGCTTATTGGAAAGAAGCTGTACGTCAGTGAGTACAGAACACGTTACACACCACATTCCGCGCTACAGTCTGATTTCAATGACGCGTTGATGCAAGAAAGTGCGGGGACCCGCCGCTCTCTGTCGGCGGCGCATCGCGCACGGACCTTCCACCACGTCCGTTTTGTTGATGATGAGGTGCTGGCAGCTCTCCAGGCAGGTGTCCTTCAGGTCACCGGTGTCGAAGACGACGCAGTCGACGCAGGGCCGGTACTCGGCGCACTTGCCGCGGCACGTCTGGGGAGGCGGCCCCGGTCAGCGGCGCCACCGTCACTCAGCCACACTCAGCGGTGCCTCACGACAGTGTCGACCCCCCCCCCCCCCTCCTCCCCCCCCCCCCCCCCCCAGGGACGGTCTGTGGCGCTGCCACGAGGTGACTGATGGCATCGACGGGCCGGCGAGGCGAGCCTCAACTGTGGGCGTCTTGCAGGTATCTACACATGGGCGCTGCCGTGACTCCCAACACGAGCACGGTTGTGCTGCGCCCCACGCCACGTCTCGCTGTGCGGACGCGGGAGGCTACAGGCGGTCACCCCTCCCAGCCCGGCCACCTGAGATCAGCCGGCGTCGGAGCCGGGCCGGGGCCAGCGGCGGGCGTCTCTTACTCACCGGGCAGTCCTCGCAGAAGCGGCCCGAGTAGCGGCCGTCCTCGTCCTCGAAGCACTTGCACTGGCCGCAGTCGCAGACGCCGCTGCCCGAGCACTGGCGCGTCTCGCCTGGGCCGACAGAGGGCGAGGCGTCAGGGGGAGCGGCACCGCTTCAGGCTCAGGCTTTTTCACAGGCGTATCGCTTTCCGGTACATGGCATTGGGTGCACGGTGTAACATTATGGTGATCCCACCCACAAGCCTGCACGCTGTCAGGTCCTGGACATGTCTCTGCATCACAACAGCAGGGGACCCAGCCCGCAGCGCCGGCGGCTCCCCACCGAGCGGCCGGCCGGCTCTGGTCACGCACCTGGCGCGATGCAGGAGGCGTTGCTGGCCGGACACTGGCAGGCGTTACCCGTCCAGTCGGGCAGGCACTCGCAGCTGCCGCACACGCAGCTGCCGTGGTCGGGACCCGAGCACAGCAGCTTCTCGTGACGGTCGCACGAGAAGTTGTCGCACTCGCAGAACTCGCCCATCACCACCTGGGGGGCGGGCGCGCGGCGACGTGTTACACCAGCCGGCAGCGGCGCGCTGCACGGGGTGAGCGGCACCGCCGGGCGAGGAGGTCAAGTACCGCGGATGACGTCCGGAAACAACACACCACTTCTGGACCTGACCACCGACCGAGACTCTGACAGACGACACCGACACATGACACTGCACTGAGCGCACCCTGAACGAGCCCCCTGCCCGAGAAGCTTAGCTCCAGCTGTCCTTTCCCCGACACAGCTCCAGCTTTTCTTTCGCGCCACGACGAATAACCACCCACCCCCGGCAAAGGCTGCATACCTCCCACCCCGTCTCCCTCAGCTACCACCCCGCGTCGCTGCTGCCGCCGCGCGCCGGCGCCGCTGCGCGCTCACCTCGTTCTCGTTCTCCCGGGCGTAGCACTGGCACTGTCCGCAGACGCACTCGCCGCGGCCGTGACACAGGATGCCCGTGGTGTTCTCCGGCCGGCAGCGCTCCTCGCCCAGCCTGCCGTTCGGGTCACTCTGCGAGCACTCGCAGTACGCGCCGAAGTGCTGGCTGTCGCACACGCACTTGCCGCACTTGAGCGCGCCGGCGAAGTTACACTCGTTCGCCAGGAACGCCTCCTTGTAGCCCTGCCCGGACGGAAGGCGGAAGGGCGCGCGGTCAGTGGCGATAAGGCATGCGGCGATCGGAGGCGACCACAGGATTATACCCGACAGTCGATAGCTGCAGCAAAACCCAGGCTTCGGCGTTCAAGCCATCACAGCCCCACACGCCAGCTCAGACTTTTAACGGTCCGCCTGGTGACGCCGTGACAGCGCTGACATCACTGCACTGACGTCACTGCGCGGTCCCCACTGTTGGCGGGGTCCCAGGCCGACTTCAGCGGCTTGTCCGGCGCGAGGCGCACACCCCCGGCCCCCACCCGGTCTCCAGTAGCCGCCCCTCGCGCTGGCCGCGGCGGGGTTACACACCGGGCCGCCGGGGCGGTCGCAGTCGCACTGGCACTGCATGGCCAGGTCGATGATCAGCGACTCGTTGAGGCCGGCCGGCTTGATCTCGATGACGTCGTTCCAGCGCGCCGGGTCCGTCGGGCACTTGACCAGCTGGCGGCGGAAAGGTGCACCGGTCAGGGCGATGCGAGCCAACGGGGAGGGACAGAGGAGCGTCCCTCAGCCAGTTGCTCGACACGGAATTGAGGACAGCGATAACATCGGAAAATGCATGCTTAAGGGTTGTTCCAGTTCCAAACCCATGATGACACACGAAGATAGGCACAGAAAACGTAACGCGACCTTTTGACTGAGCTCTTAAGACCTTGGTTGACTGATTGGTTGGCTGACTGGTTACTAGGCCTTCGAACGTTGGACTGCGTGGTTACAACGCACCCATCTGAGACAGTTGCATCATTGCCACAAACTCAGGAGCGGCTTACGACCGCCAGGCCAGAGCGGCGGGGTTCGGCGTCCATTCTGAGGAGCCACCACCGGCGCCGCACCGTCCACCAGCACGCCTCTGACCTCGATCTTAGCCGTGAAGTCGACCTGCTCGCCGATCTTGAGACCGTCGCAGCGGTTGGTCTCCTCCGGCGGGCCGTCCCCGCGGCACGCCGAGTAGTACCGGATCCGCAGGAACTCGGTCGAGTTGTCCTTCATCTCCACGAACGACGTGATGGCCTGCCGACGGCGACGTCACACTCATGCCGCGGCCGGTGACGTCACATTCATCCCGCTGCCGGTGGTGTCGTACTCACACCGCGGCCGGTGGTGTCATACTTATACCGCGACCCGTGACGTCACACTCATGCCACGGCCCATGACGTCACACTCCGGTCGGCGAGCCTGGCATTACGGCGCCGTCCGGCGACACGAACATACAGTCAGACAGACACATGCCAGTACGCATGTGTACGCAGTACGCATACGCAGTACGCAATACAGCACGCAGAACACACACGAACACGAACACAGCGCCGGACGGTCCGAGTGTCCGAGGGTGTATATGCTGCGCCGCCGTGCGGTCGGGCGGGCAGAAAGCTGACCCTTGCGGTGCTCTGGCACGGTCTCGCGGCGGCCGCCGACCACGCCGGTCGGCAGCGGCGGGCGCGAGCGTGCCGTCGAACAGACCTCGCGCTTTCTCGGTCTGCCGCGCGGCTGGTCCGGGGCGCATAGCTGCGTCATCACGCGGCGTTGTTTGGTGGTGACATCCACGGCCACCATGGCACCACGAGCACCAGGTCGTAGCGCCAGCCTGAATACCAGCGCTCAAACGGAATCGCTCGCCCATGACGTATGCAGCACTGTGCGGCTGCTGGAGCGTGCACCGCGCTGAACGGGTCTGCACTCACGTCGTACTGCTCCTTGACCAGCTGGACGACGTTGGAGGAGTCGTTGGAGAGCGTGCCGGCCGAGCTCGCCTCGATGTGCCGGCTCAGCTCGTTGTAGGTGGCGCGCTGCTCGGACGTGACGGCGAAAATGACGTTGATGCTGTTCTCCTTGACCTTCTGGTTGATCTGCGACACGCTCGGGTAGTCGAGCATGTCCGAGTGGGTGTAGCGGCCGCGCCCGTCCAGGTGGCAGTGGCCGTCGTTGGGCTTAACCACGCCGCCCAGCTGAGGACCACAGCAAACCGTCACCAACCGGCGCTCCGCCGTTACGGCACGGCACGGCACGGCACGGCACCCGCAAACCGGCACGCGCCACAGCACAGCCACATTGGTGTGCCACTCTACGACCCCGGAAGGCGAAATGCTTCCGATCACATCAGCAACCACCAACATCAAACCAAAGATACCTGATCGATACGAAAACCAGCAAATCTAAAACAACTTGTAACCATGCTAACCAAGGTAATCAAGCACAATTTGCAAGCACGATTTTAACTTAAATTTCAATTTTTAAACATCAAACACGCCACACGCGCACACCTCTTCCACACACAGCGGGCGTTCGCGCCTGAGCAGGCACCGGAGCAGCAATGGCGTGGGATGGAGACGGCGCGCTAAAAGGTGTCTGGGAGTGTATATTCTGCCTTGCCATGACAAAGGGCGGGAAAGGACAGGAAGCTGGCTCTCCGAGGTAATCTGGCAAACCAGCGAAGCACGCTGCCCACATCGGCCAGCGGCTAGGTCATGCAGGCATGCAGACATTGGCGATTCATACATTCGGACGCGTCCAAACAGCGTGACGTAAGCGCGGCGATGGACGGTCAAGACGATAAGCTTTTTCGCATTCATCCCACAGCAAATTTCACGAAAACGAGGGGGGTCACAGTGGGCAACCGAAACATATAGATATGAGAAGGGGGTATGATGGCATGCCCATATCACAAAGCATACATCGATTTTAGCGTAACTCAGCGCATCAAAACATGCACCACAACGTGGTAAAATGTTCGCCGGGTCTCTGACAGTCAGCCCAGTTAGACAAATAGGCCGCCAGTTAGACTTGTGATATACACAAATTTCACAAGCTGATGTGAAGTGTTCTGTTTCGCAGCGAGTACTCTTGTAGGACCAGCTCACGAGCCGACCCGTTGCTGCTGCACAACGGCACCACTGCCAACAGCACGCCCTCACTCCCACCGTCACTTCCCCACCCCGCGGTTACCGCGACGACTGTCGACCTCTCGCCACGCCCGAGCTTGACCCCCCCCCCCCCCTCCCGAGCGACGCCGCTCACCTTGCCGTCGCCGGCGTAGTGGAAGCCAGCGTCGGTCGAGAAGACGAGCAGGCGACGCGCGTTACTGCGCCACGCGATCTCGTCCTTGCACACGATCGCCTGCATGATGGCGTCGAAGCCGCCCTCCGGCGCGTCCAGGTTACCCGACACCTTGGCGTCGCGCACCTTCCGCTGCGGACCCCCGACGGCCGGTCAGCGATGGCACAGGTCGGTCAGGTCAAGTCAGGTCAGGTCACCGCCAGCGGAGCGGGGACGGCTCGAGCGGATGGGCTACGCTGGATGCGTCAGTGGAGACAGCTGTATTCTGAGGGATGGGGACTCAGGTGGCGAGGATTCAGAGCTTTGGTTCATACGGTATGTATGACTAGTCAAGGAGAAAAACGTGATCAAGAACAACTTCAGTGAACAGCAAACTGCCTTTCCGTTTACGTTCACTGGACAGCAGCACAGGTTACAGCGCAAAAACACAGTACATCTTGGGCAGTACCTCTGTCCCGACAAACGGAAATGAAATGCAGATAAAATGCAACTCAACGAAAACTAGCCAGTCGCCTTAAAATCTGAGACATAAAAAATGCCAGCGAACAAACGACTCGATTCTAAACAATACACGCATGATCACCGTGACGGTCGTAAGACGCCCGATGCTCCATGGATCCCGACGGTGCACAAAACTGCAGCAGTTCCCACCACCCAAGCGCCCAATACTTACCAGGGCTTCTCACCCATTAGGTCATGCACCACACCTGAACCCTTTACAGCCATTAACTCATGCAGCCCACTTTTCAAGCCACCCTCCGCGCCCTGGCGGTCATGCCTTCCAAAGGGCTGAATCCACGGGGCCCGCTGACTGCGTCGAAGGGCAGCTTGGTCTCCCTGAGTGTTGTGGTCGGGCACAAAAGCTCCCCGCAACCATACCCACACACCACATGATACGTGTCCGCCAACCCATGGGAAGAAACAACCCCTCAACCCCTCACCTACAGAAAAACTTCACCCACTATACTGCTCTACTACACATAACCTGACACCATATAGATTGCTGAAGCAAAACTGTACACTCAGCAAAAAACAGCGCGGGCGAAGCAGAGATTCTAGTGTGTGTGGAGCTTGATGCGCGCGACGCTGACGACGGCGGCTCCACCAATCGCGAGCCGCCGCCAAAGCAAGCGTTCGCAACGCGCGTCTCGGCGGCCGCTTGGCGAGCACTTACTGCGAACGCCTCAGTATCTGAGGTGAGAGGGAGCGCGTTCAGGTATCCGTACGGAGCCTCACATCCAGTGCACGGCCTTTCCAGACTATAACGACATGAGCGGGATTGTTAATGCCCGGCGCGCTGGCGCAGCTGCACGCCTGCCATGCGGTGCCTGAAGAACGCCTGCCAGAGGCATCTGCCGGCCACTGGTCCAACTGCTGCTCCCGCGGGCGTCTGCTAGAGGGTGCTGAATCGACTAGTTAGCATTCATCGTGCTTACGACATACACGTTAGCAACCGTCGAGCTCGGCGCAGATTTCGCACGCACACCATGAGGAGGATTTAATACCAGCCAACACATGCATTTAAAGCATCCACGTGGCGTACCAGATCTGCTCCGATACCGTCACGTTAGCGGCTACTGGTGTCATTCAGCCTCTGCTAGCTAGCACCGATCCGCCACCACGACATCGAGCATGCGTGCTGTGGCCGCCTGGCGACCGCCGCGAGCACCACACGTCCGGCGGCCGCCGCTGGAGGGCAGCACGAGCGGGCGGCCCACTCACTTCGAAGGCGTCGGTGTCGCCAGTGAGACGCATGTGGTTCTTGTACCCGTAGGGGGCGGCACAGCCGTCGCACGGCTCAGTCAACCTTGGAAACGGCGGCACACGCAGTTGAAGCTGGGACTCGGGACGGGAGAAGCCCGGGAGGACGGCGCAAGCACGAGGAGAAGCGGCGCTATTGTCACAAGCGGCGGACCGAGATGCACGGACAGAAAACAGAAGAGCAGAGCCAGCGGGGCAATGGTAAGCGCTGTATGAGAGTCCAGTTGCTTGGGTTCTGAGGCGAGGTTCAAAATCGGTCCATGAAGCGTTATCCGTTGGGGACATAATTAGTAGAACAACTAGTGTCTCATAAAGCAAGAAACAGGGTACTCTCCAGTGGTGGTAAATACCAATTTAAACCTAGATATGAATAGCATGTACATCTAAGTCCAAGAATCAAGACCGCATGATAAAGAGAAACCACGTGACAACACACGTAACGTTTTACCACAGCTCGATTTCAAAATTACGTGCTGCAATTGTCTTGCGAAGCCTGAACACAATTAAGATACCGTTCTTGACCTGAAGGCCGTAACAGAAATGTCACGTGAAAGAAGAATTGACAGGAGTATGAAATGAAAATACCAGTTTTCTAAGCATTACTTGCGTATCTGTCAATTTAGTGTACACAGCACCACTACTACAATTGGCACGTGACCACGCGTAGGATCACGGCCGAAAAGCATACAGAGCAGTAGAAGGCCCAGATGCCCCGCCGATCTCCCACCACTGGGCCGGACAGGGAGATCAAGACGCCCCGAGAAGGAGCGACGGCCCCAGCCGGGACAGTACCCTGGCGCCGCGGTACAGCGGAACAGGCATGGTGCACGAGATAAGGAGCGGTCTCATTCGGGACAGCCCTACAGAAGCCATGACCCTAAATCACGGGCACAGTACTGCGGATCTAATGCAAAAGTCTCCACTGCGGCTATGTCCAGCCTAAACTATTGTTCGCAGAGCCACCTAAAGCACAGTTAGCACACGAAGGCACAGGGGAGCATGTCAGCCGCGGCGCAGCGCGCTTCCGGCGTAAGAAGCGGGGGAGACGAAAAGCTGCTATGCCACCGCGAAGTCATCCATCTCCCACTTGGAACACTTGACATCCAGCAGATTTGTGGGCAAGTCACGGATAATACACGACCCAGAAGCCACCAATTCCCAATCATAGGACCCAACGAACAGGTGGCCAAAGCCGACCTCACGAAGAGCGCGGCAACGCCGTCCCCGCTAAGAGGCAGGTCAGACCCTGACACCCACCGCCCGACGCCGACGCCCCTCCACTCACTTGGCCGGGACGGTGCTGACGTAAGGCATCACCACCTTGTCGACGAAGCTGCCGAAGCCCAGGCGGAAGTTGGACGTCAGCTTGCGCATCTCCAGCGCCAGCAGGTTGCCCAGCGTGGACAGTTTGTCCTTGTCGTCCTCCATCGACTTGCTGAGGTCCATCAGGTAGTAGAGGTCGATCGGATAGTTGGGCGCCAGCGCGAAGTTGACCTTGAGGTCATGCGCCTCGTTCACGCGCAGGTTCATCCGCACGCGCTGCGGCGCGATCTGCGTCGCCTGGAACGAGCTGCTGGACGAGCTGGACGAGCTGGACGAGCCGGACGCGCTGGACGAGCCGCCCGCCGCGCCGCCAGCCGCGCCGCCGGCCGCGCCACCGCCGGCAGCGATCACACTGCTCAGCGTCTGGTTCTGCACCACGTGCACGCGGTTGGCCCAGGTCTTGAGGAAGCCCGCCTCGCAGGTGAGCGCGCCGTTCAGGAAGTTCTGCTCCTTGTTGCAGCGCTGCGCCGGCTTGCCGTCGGCGGTGGTGAAGTTCTGTCGGGCGGACAGCGGGTAGCGGGGTTAAGGCTCGCCGGTGGCAGAGCTCACCCCTGTACCACGACATTCCACTGGAGGCACTCACCTATGTCATCGGGGGCTATCAAAAATCTACACCTAGGTCATCGAAGGCTATCAAAAATCTAAACACATCAAGGAATAAATAGCCTCAGCACCCACGGCCCTCATCAGCGGTCGCCACTGTCTGGGTCGAAAGACAAGCCGACGCCAAGACGAGACAGACAGCCACGCTTAACGTACAACAGTCCGCCCGCCCGACCACGGCCGGCGTCCCAAAACGAAACGTCTCGCAGACAACACCACCTCCTCAGCGCGGCCAGTGGCGCGCTGCCGGCCCAGCCCGCCGGCGCCCTCAGCGTCACCGGTCCGACTCGCCGGCGCCCCCAGCGCCGCTGACCGGACCGTCACTCACCGTGACAGCGCACCACGCGCAGGTGGGCGTCTGCATGCACTCGCTGCAGGTCTGCTTGGAGGAGCACGGGTTCGGCTGGGTCAGCTTCTCGGCCTCCTGTGCCCATGCGACGGCCAGAACCGCCAGCACCAGCAGCGCGCGCAGCGACATGGCCGGCTGGAAAGCACGGCACGGTCGAGGTTAGGTCTGAATCACTCAACGCGGGCTGGGGATCGATGATGTCAACGGTTAACACGGTCAGCTCAACTCAATACGTGCCATTCACACACTGCAGCGCACATGCCACATACACCACCAATAAAGGGCGCTTTCAATGCGCTGCGCCAGCACTGTCTTTGACGGCCGCAAGACGAGACCCCGTCGAGGCAGCGGTGAGTGATGCTCGGCCACGGCAGGCTGTCCTCGACCAGTCATACTGGACCATTCACGGCATGCAGCATTTTCCACAACAATCGTCCGCCACGGCTCTGGCACCCGTAATGCATCAGCGCAGTCCACAGCGCGTCAAGTCGGCACGAACGCGATCAAATGCCACAACGCCGCCAGTGAGGGCTGCTGGTCCCATGGCCGTTTGGCTTCATGGGCCCGCGCCGCTGTCTGCAAACGTGCGGTCTGACTGCGCTCAAACCGGCGCGATCACTGCCAAAAGGGGGGTGAGCCGTCGGCTTCCTGCTGAGCCGCCGGCCGCCGCTCGGCGGACTGGAACAGTACCGACCGGCGCGCCGTAACAGGGCCCGGCCGCGAGCCGTGAGTCAGCGCGTCCTCCGCCTGCCCCGGCCGGTGTCTCAGCGCCGGTCCGTCGGGAAGGGCTCCGTGCCGTCCCCCGCCTGCCCCGGCCTCGCCGTGTCGTCTGCTCCAGTCGGCTGCGACGCCGCGCAATGGGCGCGGGCACCGGCGGCGACGCGCGATCCGCTGCGGACGGGGCTCCGCGCGCGGGCCGCGGACGACGGCGGACAGCGGGCGGGTGGTGCCAGGGAGGCGTGGGTCACGTCACGGCGATGGGACGCGGCCACCGGCGAGCGGCAGACACGCGGCAGCGACGGCAGACCGCAGCCAGAGCTGGGGCGGCTGATTATCGGGGGATGGGAGCACTGCTTGGCTCTGCAGACGGACGTAAGCGAGGACCCGGACAACGTGGGCACTCAAGAGAGGCGAACATTGACAGCACGTACGGCTCAGTGCTCTTACGACCGGCACTGCCGACCCAGGCTGCCGACACAGCAAGGGTGTCCTTCTTCGCCCATCAGGGATGGCAGCGGGCAACTAAAAGCACCCGGCCGAGTATACACACCGGCCTGGCAGACAAATAAACACGGGCTCCCACAGTTCGGCGCGTTCCGGGTCCACGTGTGGTGGGCCTGTCCCGACCGGAGCTGGCTCGGGAGCGCAAGCCGACAATCCGCCGCCGACCCCATCCACTGTCGCGCCAAACAATGCCTCCCCCGTCTCGCTAAGCCATGCCAGATCACCACCGGCGCGTGCCAAGCCATGCTCCGACTCGGCAAGCTTGGAGCGGCCGGCTGGGCTCAGCGCGCCTGACGGCCGATTGTCTTGGCAGCGGCGCCGCCGCACGCCACCGCCGGCCGTGACACGCCGAGCAGGACCGGGCCGAGCGCCGCCCCGTCCCGGCGCCGGCGCGCGCTCCGGCCGCGCCGACCGTTACGCCCACCGAGCGGCGGCTCCGATTCCGGTGCACTGCCGGTGCCGCTTCCGGCGCGCGCGCGGCGGCAACGCACCATCGGGAACGCGGCCAGGCGGCGGCGGCGCGACCGGCGGCGGCGGCGACCGCCGCGGCCGCGAGCGGCCTTCACGGCCGCACCATATATGGTGGCGCGCACGGGCCGCCGTCCCCGCCCGGCCGCCGGCGGTCGCGCAGGCACTGCCGCTGCGGCGCCCAGGCGCCCCGGCGCCGCCTGCGGGTCGCCACGATCCCGGCCGTCGCCTCGCACCGGCTCGCCAGCCACTTACTGGGACGCGGGCGGGTGAAATCGGTGAACAGGCGCGACCGGCTGGCGGCTGCACTGAAGACAGGCTCACAGTCAAGTCCGCTTAGCGCACGACAGGGACACGGCGCGAGGTCTGATAGTCGCCAGCCAATGCTCACCGACATATGAAGCACGCTCAAGTGCTCGGCGAAGTAGCGGTCAAAGTTCCACGGAAACAGGAAACACTTCCGGTGAGGTTCATAGTCGAGGCCGGTTCTCTCTCCCAGGAACCATGACGTCACGTCGCGACGACGTTCAACAGCTTTATCGCGGCCGGGGCGCCACGAGCTGATCGTCAACAAGGCGCAGACGGCCGGCCGCAGGCGCGGCGTCAGTCGGCCATATGGCCGGAGCGCGCCGTGCGGTGGCGGGAGAGAGGGGACGCGGCGGCCACATCTGGCGGTGCGCGCGCATGTGTGGGCGACCAGGGACCGGCCAGCTACCTGCTCCGACGCAGTCCACGGGCACCCCACGACCTCAGAGCCAGCGGTCGGCCGAGCGGGGCGTGACCCGGCGGGACGAGGTCGGCCCGCCGCAGCACGCGCCGCACACAAAGCCGCCGCCGCCGCTCGGCCGGGCTGGTGACGTCACGCCGCGCGGCGGCGGCGGCGGCGGCGCACCTGCACACGGCGTCTCAGCCGCAGCGGCGGCGGCCCACCGGAAGCGGTCGGCGGTCAACACACCGTATCGGGCCGGCGGCACTGCGGCCACGCCCCTGTCTGGGACGCCAGGGGCAGATTGGAGACCCACTCCAGCCCTGTTCACCGCGAGACTCGCGCTCGGGTGGTGTTGATTTGTCGATAAGCACGGGCGCCAGTCGCGGTTATCGCGCCCAGCCTCGCCGGCCCATTGATTGCTGGCCGGCGGCTCCGGCGGGTGGGTACCGTGATCCGTACGCCAGCCGGGCGCCGCGGCTGGCAGACGTCCAGTCGACGGCGGCCGTGACGGCCAACCAAGCACGCCGGATGACGCCGCAGCAGCCCACGCGGCCTTTCAAACGG